CTACTGTACAACTATGAAATAATTACTGTCCTACTGTACAACTATGATATAATCCTTAGTGTTAAGTAGTCTGTAAGCCAATAATGTTAAGTTGGCCCATAATGCCTAGGCATAATAGAGGCTCTCTTTGCATTGCAACCCACTATTGTAAATACAAAATCTCAATGTACTGTTTGCAAAGACATAAAATAAATAAATAAGTAAATAGTGTACTACATATAATAATTATAATAATAGACGGCTTCAAAAGGTCGTCACTAGATGGCATTGTTTACCACAACAAAGAGGGAGCGGTTGTGGCTGCCTCCACCTGTTACATAATTTTTTTTTTTTTTTCAACAAGTCGGCCGTCTCCCACCGAGGCAGGGTGACTCAAAAAGAAAGAAAATCCCCAGAAAGAAAATAGTTTTATCATCGTTCAACGCTTTCACCTCACTCACACATAATCACTGTTTTTGCAGAGGGGCTCAGAATAAAACAGTTTAGAAGTATATACGTATAAAGATACACAACAAATCCCTTCAAACTGCCAATATTCTAAGGACTCAAGTCAGGCTATATAAAATAACCGGTTTCCCTGAATCCCTTCACTAAATGCTACCCCGCTCACACTCCAAAAAGCTCGTCAGGTCCCAAATACCATTCGTCTCCATTCACTCCTATCTAACACGCTGATGCACGCTTGCTGGAAGTCCAGGCCCCTCGCCCACAAAACCTCCTTTACCCCCTCCCTCCAACCTTTACGAGGACGACCCATACCCCGCCTTCCTTCCCCTACAGATTTATATGGCCCCCATGTCATTCTACTTCGATCCATTCTCTCTAAATGACCAAACCACCTCAACAACCCCCCTTCCCGCCTCTGACTAATACTTTTATTAACTCTACACCTTCTCCTAATTTCCACACTGAATTTTCTGCATAATATTTACACCACACATTGCCCTTAGACAGGACATCTCTCACGGCCTCCAACCGCCTCCTTGCTGCAGCATTTACAACCAAGCTTCCCCATCCATACAAGAGTGTTGGTACTACTATACATTCCCTTCTTTGCCCCCATAGATAATGTTTTTTGTCTCCACATATACCTCAACGTACCACTCGCCCCTTTTTCCTTCATCAATTTCTATGATTAACCACCCTCCTTCATAAAACCATCTGCTGACAAAGTCAACTCCCAAGTATCTGAAAACATTCACTTCTTCCATAACTCCTCCTCCCCAATTTGATATCCAATTTTTCTTTATCTAAATCATTTGATACCCTCATCACGTTACTTTTTTCTGTGTTCACTTTCAACTTTCTACCTTTACACACACTCCCAAACTCGTCCACTAACCTTTCCACCATCACTCCTCTTTCCCTCCTGCAAACCCCCCCTCCTATAACCACAGACTTCTGCCCCACATTCTAATACTGCATTTTTAAAACTATTCCAACCCTCTTCAACCCCCCCCCCACACACAACACTCAATACTCATTCCCACCCGCCCACCCTTTCTGCCAATAGTTGCTTATATCTCACCCGAACTTCCTCCTCCCTTAGTTTATACACATTCACCTCCCTCTTACTTTTTGTTGCCATTTTCCTCTTGTCCCATCTACCTCTTACTGTAACTGTAGCTACAACTAGATAATGATCCGACATATCAGTTGCCCCTCTATGAACGTGTACATCCTGGAGCCGACCCATCAACCTTTTATCCACCAGTGTAAAATCTAACAAACTATTTTCATTACGTGCTATATCATACCTTGTATATTTATTTGTCCTCTTCTTCATAAAATATGTATTACTTATTACCAAACCTCTTTCTATACATAGCTCAATTAAAGGCTCCCGATTTTCATTTACCCCTGGCACCCCAAATTTACCTACTATTCCCTCCATATTTTTACCCACTTTAGCATTAAAATCCCCAACCACAAGTACTTTCACACTTGGTTCAAAACTCCCCATGCATTCACTCAACATTTCCCAAAATCTCTCTCTCTCTCTACACTTCTCTCTTCCCAGGTGCATATACGCTTACTATAACCCACTTCTCACATCCAACCTTTATTTTACCCCACATAATCCTTGAATTAATACATTTATAGCCCCTCTTTTCCTGCCATAGCTTATCCTTCAACATTATTGCTACTCCTTCTTTAGCTCTAACTCTATTTGAAACCCCTGACCTAATCCCATTTATTCCTCTCCACTGAAATTCACCCTCCCCCTTCATCTTTGTTTCACTTAAAGCCAGGACATCCAGCTTCTTCTCATTCATAACATCCACAAACATCTCTTTCTTATCATTCGCATAACATCCACGCACATTCAGACTTCCCACTTTGACACTTTTCTTCTTCTTACTCTTTTTAGTAATTATTACATGAAAAGGGATTACTAGCCCATTGTTCCCGGCATTTTAGTCGACTTTTACAACACTCATGGCTTACGGAGGAAAGATTCTTATTCCACTTCCCCATGGATATAAAAGGAAAAGTAATAAGAACAAGAACTATTAAGATAAAATCAAAGAAAACTCAGATGAGTGTGTATAAATAAACGTGTGCATGTATGTTTAGTGTGACCTAAGTGTAAGTAGAAGTAGCAAGACATACCTGTAATCTTGCATATTTATGAGACAGACAAAAGACACCAGCAATGCTACCATCATGTAAAACAATTACAGGCTTTCGTTTTACACTCACTTGGCAGGACGGTAGTACCTCCCTGGGTGGTTGCTGTCTACCAACCTACTACCTAATGACATATTTTATTCATTCTAGAGCATGTATCATGTTTCTTTGTTATTTATATTGTTTGTTATGTCATATTAGATGAACTATGATAGATAAATAAGCCGTATAGATGATATTAGCGAAATTATTCATGAAGTATATTGCCTGGTTTTCAGACAAACTCTCGTTCACTGCCGACACCGCCCATACCACTACATGAATAACATAATTTATTCATTCTAGAGTATATATCAGGTTTCTATGTTATTTATATTGTTTATTATGTCATATTAGATGAAGTGAGATAGATAAATGAGGAAAATTGACTGCAAACTAGCAAATCCAGTTGCGAGCAAGGTCATGGAACGGATTAAACTCACAAGTAGAGGTTCCACTGTATTTTATACAATACATAAATTACATTTTAAATAAACATTTAAAATAAAATTTACTTACCTTTATTGGGGAGACTTGCTGGCACCTCTCTTTTATGTGCGGGTTATTTGTGTATCGTTCCAGTCACAGTATTGTGCCTTTGTTATTTATGAAGGACTTAGTGTTTGGAAGGGGAATCCCCTTCCGTAAAGACTTTAGGTAACAAGTTTTTATCTGGGGTTTCTTGACTTCTTCGTCTTTTAAGGCCACTAGGACCAGCTTGAGAGTCACTGGACCCCTGTCGCACAAAATAACTGTCCAGAGTGCTCTGTTTCTGGTGTCTCTAAGATTTCCCTGAAGTGGGACAAGGTTTTGTCACTGAACATGTTGCAGATATGGCTTGTTTCAGCTTGGTCAGGGTGGTACTTTTCAATAAAAGTTTGCAACTCATTCCACTTGGCACACTTTTCACAGTCACACTTAATGGCTGGCTGGATGCCTGGCTGGCTGGCTGGCTGGCTGGGCTTGTCTGTTTGGGTGCCTGACTGGCTGGCTGCCTGGCTGGCTGGCCCGAATGCCTGGTGGTGGCTGGCTGGCGTCTGTTTGGGTGCCTGATGCTGGATGCCTTGCTGGCTGGTGGGCCTTGCTGGCGGTGATGCCTGCTGCTGGCTGGAGCCTTTGCTGGATGGATCCTTTCTGGCTGGATGGATCCTGCTTGCTGCTGGATGCCTTGCGGCTGGCTGGGTGCCTTGCTGGCTGGCGGTGCTCTTGCTGGCTGGCTGTGCTGCTCTGCTGGCTGCTGCCTTGCCTGCCTGGCTGCCTGCCTGCCTGCCTGCCTGCCTGCCTGCCTGCCTGCCTGCCTGCCTGCCTGCCTGCCTGCCTGCCTGCCTGGCTGCCTGCCTGCCTGCCTGCCTGCCTGCCTGCCTGCCTGCCTGCCTGCCTGCCTGCCTGCCTGCCTGCCTGCCTGCCTGCCTGCCTGCCTGCCTGCCTGCCTGCCTGCGCAGGGTAATGTTCATTCAAGGATGAACAACGCTAGACTGGCTCGCGATGCCTGCACTGGGAGGCGCGGAAGCATGGGCAGGCGGACAGGTCTGGTACACCGGCTGAAACTCAGGGCAATGGCCAAAACGTGGGTCAAAATTTGGCCGAAAAAAGCAGACGAAACCCAAGGTGGCCAAAATCCAGGGTTTCACTGTACATGCATACGTAGCGTGACCTAAGTGTAAGTAGAAGCAACAAGATGTACCTGAAATCTTGCATGTTTATGAGACAGAAAAAAACACTGGCAATCCTACCATCATGTAAAACAATTACTGTACAAGCTTTCATTTTACACTCACTTGGCAGGACAGTAGTACCTCCCTGGGCGGTTGCTGTCTGCCACCCTACTACCTAGGTAAAACTCACCTATCTGAGCTTGAAATTTGTAGCTTACTACCTGACTGATGCAGGAGCCAATAGGCAAGAATTATTTTGAAAGACTACATTCAACACTGCAAGACTTCAGATGAGCATGATACAGCTAGGGAAAATTATGACAGAAATACTGTATTGTGATGCATCAGCAGCATAGACAAGGATAGGCTGTTGTTCATGGAAGGGACCAGAATTAATGAACACCTGGAGGCTGAATAAGTCAGACTAGCATTAGTAAGTGCTTTTACTATGTGAAGACAATAAAGTACATTGGTCAAGGGCAAGATATAGTGTCGGCTGACTATATATGAATTGAGAAATGGATACACAGAACTAAACCTTGGTAGTCAATCAGAACTGGGCTATAAATTGGAGATCAATGCCAGCAAAGTCAGCTAAATAAATACCGCAAAAAATGTACACACATTAGGTATGAGATATTTAGAATTTTAACTAATAATACGTATTTTTTTCAGTTGTGCCTCTGTGGTCTGTGGTGATGGATGCTCAGTAGTTCCAGATGCATATGGTTACATTGGTGTGAAGCAGATTGAAACAAAGTTTCTTAGCAATGCCTGGAGTAGATCCTGGACTTCTGACCCCTGGATGGGTACCTAATCATTACCGGTGGATTGTGTGGAAACTTGCATCCCTTGAGAGACGCTTACTTAATTGGTATGAAAGTTTGCCTTGAAAATCAGACTACGGATTATGTATAGTAGTTTGCTAATTGCTTTATTTGACATTTTATGTACAGTTATTAATAGTGGACCCTCCTTTTCCATTGGGCTCTGTTTTCACTCATTTCCGTTATTGCCGATTTTTTCTATAAAATTATTGGCTCCATTTTCATTGCTTTCCTCCATTCTCATTGGTGGTACGGTAAAAATATTGGCTCAGTTTCCATTGCTTTCCTCCTTTCTTGTCAGTGGTACAGTACATGTCCAAGTGTGCCATGCACACAACCTCCCACACACTCATTCTGAGGAGGCAGTGTTGCTTTGTTTCTCTGTGAGTGAACATTATCATGCGAGGGTATA